AGTAGTTCACTTTGTGCCTGGAGAGTGTTTTTTGTCTTCCCCTGCAATAACCAGAGGGCAGCTGTTGGTGGGGGAAGGATCACTTGCGTTTTCACTGACCTCCCAGATACATCACCTCTGAACTGCATGTCGTACATGTCTGGATGAAAACTCAAACAAGCAGAAACCAAAACACAATTATCACCTGAAGAGAAAAGGAAAATGTTTGGGTAAAAGTGTATCAAAACTGTTCCAAAATTCTATCAAAACTGTTTCAAAATCAGCTTAGGCATTGCAGGAATTCAGGTATTTCACCTCTGGGGGTCATAGAATCAAAGTCACAGAATCTTTTAGGTTGGAAAAGACCTTTAAGGTCATCAGGTCCAATCATTAACCTGATTTTACCAAGTCCATAGCTAAACCATGTCCCTCAGCACCACATCTACATGATGGTGATTCAATCACTTCCCTGGGCAGCCTGTTCCAATGCTTGACAGTGTTTTTGGTGAAGAAATTGTTCCTCATCTTCAATCTCCCCTGGTGCAACTTGAGGCTGGTTCTTCTTGTCTTGTTGCTTGTCCCTTGGGAGCAGAGCCCGACCCCCCCTGGCTCCAGGCTCCTGTCAGGAGCTGTGCAGAGCCAGAAGGTCTCCCCTGAGCCTCCTTTGCTCCAGGCTCAGCACCCCCAGCTCCCTCAGCTGCTCCTCCTCACACTTGGGCTCTAGACCCTTCCCCAGCAGCTCCGTTGCCCTTCTCTGCCCATGCTCCAGCCCCTCACGGTCCTTCTGGGAGCAAGGGTCCCAAGCCTTGGCTTGGAGGAGCAGGGAGAGTCTGAGAGGCTTCCATCTGCTTTTCAACCCTTGTGGCATCAGTTTGGAGAACAGCATTGTGAACTTGTGTGTTCTCCACCACCATGAGCATTTTGGGTGCTGAGCAGCTGTGCACCGTTGGTCTCTTCTGGGCAGCTGCTCAGCTCTGGGCTGTCAGCATTGAAATATGTCCTGAAACTGGCCAGTTTTGAGGAGGGAAAGGTGCTACAGAAGGAAATGCAGCTGGGCTAATTGCAAGAGAGCAGCTGATGACCTCCTTGCTGTCGGAGGCCACCTAAAACCCAGGAGCTGCCTAAGCTGGTGTGCCCAGTGGAGGGCGTAGCTAAACTGGGTGAACTGGGCTGTGACTGCAGCTGTGTTGGCGTGGTTGGGATGTTCTCTCTGGGCTGTTGGAAATCCTCAGCCTGATTTCTAGTGCAAGTGGCTGAAGTACAGATGCACACCCACTGGGTGACAGCCGTGAGCACGCCAAGGAGATGGTCCAGTGTAAATGAACGTCTACAGCAAGCTGGGCTTTTAAAGTCATGAACAGCAGCTCCTGTGCTCTGTGAAGTCAGCTGGCTCCAGGTATAACATAAAAACCAATTAAAAAGTAGCAATAAAGTCTGAAGGCCACTTGTGAAACTCATGGAAAGGCTTTGAGCAGAGTGCTGGCTGGTTTTGGTCAGGAGCTGGTGATGCTGAGGGCTGCAGAACTGGGGACCTGCAGGGACCTGCCTTCCTGGGGGTGTCTCTGATCCCTTCTGATGCTTAGGGTGGTTTTGGTCATGTGTGGAAGAGCTTCCCCTCACCTGAGGAGGGGTGGGGGTCTGCTCTCCTGCGAGTTGTTGGCTAGAAGTGGCTTTGGATGTTTTATTCCTGATGGTGGATCCAGGGTGCTTTGTACAGCATGGGGACCCAACCACCATCTGCTGTGCTTTGGGTGGCACCAGGAGCTCACTAAAGAGCAAATTCCTGGCTCTGGACTGCTCCTGGATGGCTTCAGCTCTTGCCTGGTAGAGATGATGTCACTGTTCAGTAAATGACCCTTCTGCCCTTTCTCCCTTCCTGCTGGGCTTTGAATTGTAGGTGTCTGGTAAGTCAAAGTTGATCAGGAGAGAACAAATCCACCCTTTGAAGTCCTCTTCAGGCTGTGAGTGTTTGAGGTCCTGCTGACTCGTGCTGAGGACGTGATGTGCTCTCTGAGAAGCCCTAGGTGGTTCTTTTGTCCTGTGGGACAGTGGTTTGGGACAAGCACACTGAGCAAGACTTAAATCTGGGCTGGGACAAATGTTCCTAAAGTGTTCCTGAGCAATCCCACCTGAAACTGGGAAGGTTGTGCTCCTAATTACTCTCACTATTTTTATTGGAGTATTCATTTGAAATGCTCTTCGTGGCGTTGCTGAGTTGAACCTGCTGGTTATCTACTGCTGGGAGGACTGTCATTTTGGAGGACATTTTAAAATTCTATAATTTTCAGTTCTAGAGGGACTAATGCAACACGGTCAAGGGGAAATTTTGTGTGAGGTGACTGAGTTGCTGTTTGCTTCCAGCCCCCGAGCATCCAATGACTGGTGCAGACCAGGCTGAGCTCCAACTCATCGATGTAATATCTTGAATTAAACCACAGGGATGCATCTGTCTGCTTCTGTAGACAGTTCTGGAAATTTGATAATGGTTTCTGGATGGCAGAGACATTTTAAATGCCTTCTTGATTTCTCACCTTTTCTGGTTTTCATTAGGAGTAATAAACATGAGGCAGCTGCCACCCAGCTGGTTGAAAGAGCAGCGAGCTGCGTTGCACAGAGGCATTTAAATACAAATCACAGGCGTTTTTGCTGCAGTGTTTGTTGTCCAGGAGTGGTGGAGCTCAGAGCTGGGCAAATGGCAAGTGTTTGCAGGCAAGTAACGTAGAGAATATGAGGAACCGAGGTGCTGAGCTTTCAAACAGAAGCTCCTTGGATAGTAGAACGGTTTGAGTTGGAAGAGACTTTAAAGATTATCTAGTTCCAACCCCTGTGCCATGGGCAGGGACACCTCCCACTAGACCAGGTGGCTCAGAACCACACCCAGTGTGGTCTTGAACACATCCCATGATGGAGCATCCACAGCTTCCATGGACAACCTGTGTCAGGGTCTCACCATCCTCATAATGAAGAATGTCTTCCTAATTTCTAATCTAACTCTCCCCTCTTCCACTTTGAAGCCATCACTCCTCATCCTATCACAACAAGCCCTTGCAAAAAAAAATTGAGCACACAGTCCTGAAACCTCTGACCACCAAGGACCTCTTAAAGCACGGGTGTAGCATGAGGGTAGGGGTGAAAAGCCATGGAGGTGCACAAAGGCTCCTTTGGTCACTGTTCAGACCCTAACCTCAGCCTGCTGATGTGCTGCATTCACAGACTGTAGCGTAGCAGCCAGGGGAGGGGATGGGAGAGGGCTCCTGGGGATGGGTATCACCAAACAGCTTCACCCTCCTTTGAACATGGCCACATTAGAGCTGTGCCCTTTGGCGACTTGGTGGAGAGCACAACTTCATTACTCCTCTCCTAGGAGGCAGATCCAGAGCAGGCATAAGTCATCCTCACCTCTGCTGACTCCAGGGAAGTTGTGCCACTTCAGACCTGCTGTCTCTGGGGTTTTTAATTTATTTTTTTGGCTCCAAGACACTCCCCTTGCATTATTTTTTGCTTCAAACCTGTCGTTCCTTCAAAAGATGGTTCCTTGCTGTGCAAATCAAAATGAATTTGGAGTCCTGTAGCCTGCCTAACTTGTCACAAGTGCCATATTTGGGACCATCAGTTTCAATGTGTTAGAATAAAAAAAAAAATCACTGCAAATCTAACGATTTATGCTACACCTTGTTTTGATGGATTGCTCTGGATGTTTGTGGTGTGGTGGGTCCTGGGAGTTTTGTGCTGAGTCCCAGGAGCGTGGCCCTGCCTGGGGCTCACTGTGCTGTGCTTCCCTCACCCTCCCTGAATCCAACTGGCCACACGATGGAGCACAAGGAATTGCTGGGGTGTGGTTTACAAAGGCACAAGGAGTGATTTTGGGTACATGTTGATGGCAATTTATTGGTGGGTGGTGGGGTCATAACACCTCAATTTATGAGCAGCTTAATATCCTCCTGCGTCCAGCAGTGTGGTCCAGGGGTGAGAACACTGCCCCAGCAATCCCAGGGTTTATTGATTCACTGTTAGTCACCTTCCAGCTGTCTCAGCTTTTCCATAGCTTGTTTTGGGATCCTGTGGGGAGTGAGTATTTGTCACCAGCACAGGTAGAAGCAGAACTTGTCTTTCCGTGGCTGCTCTCCAACTGGGGACTTTCAGCTCTGAGTAAAGCGTGAAAAGGCATGGAGATAAAAAACCCAAAATAGAAAGGGGGTAGTTTGAAGCAGCAGAGGCTTTATTATGCCATAATACCATAGAGAATAAAGTAATGCAGACTATAGAACAAGTACTCTCTGACTTGCAGCTGGTACATCAGAGGTGGATATTTCAGTAAGTACTTCCAGAGTGAGCTGCTTTGCTCAGTAGCCCCCCTGGACTTGAAAGTCAAATCTTGTTTCCTACCATTATTACAGGCACTGGTCTTATTTCTATTGCACATAGCACAGATTTAAAACCTGGTTTCTTTACAAAATCTCCTCTGGAGCAAAGTAGAAAGCAGAAAGAAATGGGTATTCTTAGCAGTATCAGCATGGAAGGACTTGAGTTTTGCTGGCACTGGGCTAGCTGAGGCTACCTTGATGCAATATCATCTGTGTGAGTGATTGTAGCTGTGGTAAAAGTCACACATCCTTTGTTCTGGCAGTCATGGGAGAACTGTCTTCATGCAGTCAGGATCTGTTGATAAGAGAGTGTAGACACGAAGCTCTGAGACCTCTATATCTAATGCAGAGAGGATGAAATAAGGGTTTTGAAGGTGTCAGCTTGTCCACAAGCCCCAGTGATTGCAGCAGGGATGGAGTCATGGTTCTGGGAGCTGGACTCCACTTATGGGTGTGCATGTTGTTCTTCATCACCTGCTTGTTCTCTGGGCACCTCCACGGAGCTTAATGTTGCCCACAGTTGTAGTGGTAGCTACTGGACCACTGGTATGAGTAAGGACATGAGCTGTGCTGGTACAGGTGAGCTGGAGCACACACCTGAAGGCATCTCCTAGGGCTTTGCTGTCCACAGTACGGCACACAGAGCTGTCCCCTCACCTGCCCGTGGGGCTGGGGGAACACCGTGACGCAGGGATGAGGAGACCTGGGGCTGCAGGGGGAGGTGTGGCCCTCCACAAGGTGTGTCTCCACACACTGTGGTGAGCACTGTGGGCAGCACTTGGGGCTGCTCTGCATGGTCTTCCTCACGGCGCACAGCTTGGGGCCTGTGGGAGGACAGGGGGGGTGGGACACGTACTGCACCGCGCCGGGGCGGTGGCACTGGGTGGAGACTGGTGTGGGGTGCTTCACTCCACTGGCAACACGGCCCTGCTGCTTGCACTGGCACCTGTTACAGGCCATTGTCCCGGGGTGGAGATGAGCCTGAAAAACAAAGTAGGGAAGAATCGTGCTTTGGGTGGGAAGGCACCTTTAAAGCTCATCTTGTCTAACACCATCTGGTCCAACCTGCCCTTGTACTCACTCAGCAGGGACATCCCCAGCTAGAGCAGGGTGCTCAGAGCCCTCAGACTCACCTGGGATGGTGCCAGGGGTGGGGCAGTGACCATCTTGTGGAGATGAGCCTGAAAAACAAAGTAGGGAAGAATCGTGCTTTGGGTGGGAAGGCACCTTTAAAGCTCATCTTGTCTAACACCATCTGGTCCAACCTGCCCTTGTACTCACTCAGCAGGGACATCCCCAGCTAGAGCAGGGTGCTCAGAGCCCTCAGACTCACCTGGGATGGTGCCAGGGGTGGGGCAGTGACCATCTTGCTGGGCAACCTGGGCCAAGGACTCACCACCCTCAGCATCCAAAATTTCTCCCTCTTCTCTACTCTAAATCTCCCTCTTTTAGCTTAAACCCATCACCCCTTGTCCTGGTGCAACAGCCCCTGCTCAAAAGTCTGTCCCCAGCTTTCTGACAGACCCCTGGCAGCCCCCAGCAGGTCTCCCCAGCTGGAGCCTTCTCCTCTGGGGCTGCCCCAGCCCAACTCTCTCCTGCTGGGCTCCCAGCAGAGGGGTTCCCCCCTCGGGGCATTGCTGGGGCTCCTCTGGCCCCGCTCCAGCAGCTCCCTGGCTCTGCTGTGCTCAGGACTCCAGAGCTGCCCCAGCACTGCAGGGGGGGCTCCCCAGAGTGGGGCAGAGGGGCAGGATCCCCTCCCTGCCCTGTGCCCACGCTGCTGGGGGTGAGCCCAGGACAAAAGGAAAACTCCCTGTAGATCAGGGCTTGCATCTGACAAGCTGCCTTTGCCTGCTGAGTCCCACCCTCCTCTCTAGCAAGAACTGCACAGTGGGGCATTAACAAACTCTTCCAGGGCTTCAGATGCTGTGTGGAGCAGGGAGCTATTAACCCTGGAAGAAGGGGAGTTTTGGACCTAGCTGTGAAGTCACCTGCATGCCTCAGCTGGTGAGGCAACGGCGTGTCAGGGATTGGTGCTGAGGTTCTCATCTTTTTCTGTCAAGGGCTATCATTTATTTGCTTTCCAGATGCTTC